TAAACTTGAGGCATTTGTCGGTAAATGGGTGTACCTCAAGACCATAATATTAAGTGAAATAAATTAGACACACAAGTTTAAATATTACATGGTTTCTCTTACATGAGAAGCCCACAATATAAATAAGGAGCAAAATAAAAGATGATAGGAAGTAGGGAGATCTTTTTCAAATGAAAAGGACGACAAGAGATAAAAGGAGGGAAGATGGAAGGAAGGGAAAAGAATGGAAAATGGAAACGAAGCTTATGTAGATAGGAAGGAACTGGACAGGTTGAAGGGGTGGAAGGAGAATGGGGAACAAATAAGAACCAATACAGGTATAATTTCTCAATAATGAATGTGATCGTGTACACCTAAAATGTACAAATAAGCTTAATTTTTTAGAATTGAAAAATGGAAATAGAGCTTTTGCATATAAGAAGAGGAACAAAAATTGGAGGGAGCAGGGAGGGGTGGGAGGATAAGGGGACAAAAGAAGAAGTAAGATGTGTCATGTACATGTATACTCTCCCCACAATAAATGTAATCACTGTGTACTGCAAATGTATACTAATAAAAATAAGAATTTAAGTTAAAAAAATTTAAATACATATATAAAATTAGAGAAAGTAGCGATAGTTTACTAGTATTAGGTAAATACAAAATTCTAAATAAAACTATAGCTGTATGAGCTAAAATTTTTTTGTGGGGATGGGTCAGGCTGGGGATTGAAATTGGGTCCTTGTACTTGCCCGGCAGGGGGCAGAACCACTGAGCTAAATCGCCAGCCCTGAGCTAAATTTTTAATGGCAGTTTTCTTAAAATAAGTGACTCTTATTCTTTGGTATACTTTTTTGTTTGGTTGGTTGGTTAGTTTGGTTTGGTTTTTTGTGGGGTTATTTTTGGTTTTGTTTGGTTTTTTGTTTTTGTTTTTGTTTTTTTGAGACAGGGTCTCACTATGTAGTTCAGGCTGACCTTGAACTCACTATGTAACTCAAGCTGGCCTGAAATTCGTGATCTCTCCTGCCTCAGCCTTCCAAGTGTTGAAATTGCAGGTGTGTGCCACCACACCCAGCTTGGTATGGTATTTAAATAGTATAAAATTATCACCATTAATTGATAGACTGAGAGATAACACAATTAAACTGAGGAGGAAAAAAGAATAAAACCAGTACTTGAGGAAAAACATTGTTAGTATCTTTGTACTGTCCCCTTCTCAAAACCCCCATACAGAAGTCACCAGAAAACTCTATTAATCACTTTTTTAAAGTGCATCTTAAATTTGTAGAAAAGGAGAGTACCGCCTTGATAGAATCTCAGTAGTGTCTCTAAAGTGAAAGTTTACAGAGGTATATATAAAGTATTGGCTGTGTAGTTAGTCTAAGGTGATTAGTGGTAAAGTGATCTGGATAGGGCTCAGTTAGAATTTGTAATTCATGCCAGTCCCTGAAACGATTAGTAATCTTATCTTTGGAACATATGATACTATTACATTGTTCATGCTCATTTCTTAGAACATGTGGTCTGAACAATTAAACAATTTAAGCTAACATGTCATAACTGAACATAATTTTTCTGTTTTACAAGGCATGATATTTTTTTGCAAGTTGTAAATTCAGTATAATTTTCAGTTGTCTCATTTTTTATATCTTTCAGCTTAAATAAGACCATTATCTTTTGAAGATGATGTCAGGCTAGATTTGTACTGCTTTTTGTTGGACCGTGACTGTGTATTAGGTATTCTATAATTGTTTTTACTCTCTACAAGCATTCATGATAGTTTTTTTAATTATGTAGTTTAACCACAGATTAAGTTGCAGCAATTTGAGGCTCTAGAGATTATACATTTGAACAGTGCCATACTGACAAACAGTAAAGTGAGATTATTGTCAAAGTTTGCATGGTACCTCAGATCCGTGATTCTGGGTCTCCAAATCTGGACATGAAAATATGTCAAGTGTTTTAGCAACCTTCCTTTTATAAGTGGAAAGGAGCAAATTTTTGTATTACCTAGTAACTATCCAGGAAACTATAGCTGAAATATGAAAGATATCTTAATAGGCTTTTTTTTCTTAATTGGAGAAAGGTAAATCCAGAAGAGTTGATTTAAGAAGCAGGATATTAATATCATAAGTAAAGGCAAGAAATACTTATAGAAGTAAAGGATATAACTCAATGGTAGGATAATTACCTAACATATACAAGATCCTGGGTTTAATCCCCAGCACCACCCAAAAAAAAAAAATCTTTTTCCCAGGAGACATTTGTATAATTCAATTTAGATTATCATACTTTTGCTATCTTCTAACAAAACCAATTAAGGCAATTTAGGAGATTCAAATTCTGATTTTTGTATGAAAAATAAACCTAAGATTCGCATAACTATTGTTCTAAAATAATTTTCTTACATTGTGCAAGAGTTAGGAAGAAAACACAAAACAACTTTCTTTTAAACCAAAACTATTAAATCATTCTAATTTGTCGAAAGAGTCATCCTAGTAGAAATACTACATGAAATTTCTTTCTAATACAATTTAGAAACCCTATATTTAGAAACCAAAATTTTTAAGATTTCTTAATCATATCCCCCCCCCAATTTTTTTGTTTTTTTCTTATCTGGGTAGTGCTTGGTAACCAACTAACCAAGGCACTTAGCCAAACTCTCAGTTAAGTTTTTGTTTTTTTGTTTGCTTGTTGCAGCATATATCTAAAAGTTGTTTAGACTAGTAATATGCCCCCATCAGAGTTTCTAATCTGATTTTTCTCCCTTTTTGTGTTATATCTGTTTATCTAAATGATCTGGATAGTCTAGAATATGTAGTCTTGTAATCTTCCATTTAATTCTGTTATTTTTCTTTGAAAAGACTTAAAATAAATGGTAAATTCATACCCTCACTTAACCAACTATTATTTCATTATGTCAGTTTTGCAGACAATTTTCCAGTGATCATTAATTGTTCTGCTATTCCTGGAATTGTTTGCAACAAAATAACAGAGAGGAACATGAATGGCAAAGAAAACACTCTAATGTCAGCACCCTACTGTGGAAAAAAATTACATAACCACAGAGTTTTTCTAAAGCAACTTGTCTGATTAATGAAGTTAAAGAGCTGTAAACCTTAGCCTTTATTAAATTTAAATGTCTTCAATTACTGTGTGTTAATTAATTCATACTGGTTTTGCAATAGCAATTTCCCAGGCATTGCCAATGACTAAGAATGAAAGTGGGTTGCAATGTCATACCACAACCAGTTAAATTAGTGCAGTATTTTCAAGGAAGACATCCAGGTGACACTAAATAAGTTGGTCAGAGTTTTCTTCAGCCTATCATAAGAGGACGGTTGGTTGCAGAGCTCCTGCTTTTCCAACATAAAGCCAAAGTCTGGTCACAGCATCACTAATTAATCAGGAGGAAAATGAAAGGGGCTAGCAGTTATCATTTATCATTTAAGAAAACTGATATATGTAGCCCTGGGTATTGGCCATGAGAACAGCTTAAGCATCTGAAATGTGCAGGTTTGCCTTCAACCTAAAATAATGTTTCAAATTTACTCACTTTAAAGAAGTACTTTTGCAGGCTGGGGATTTGGCTCAGTGATTATGCCACCTGCTTTGCAAGCTCAAGGACCCGAGTTTGATCTCCAGTACCAAAAAAAAAAAAAAAAAAAAAAAAAAAAAAAACTTTTCAAAAAGTTAGTTTCCAAGAAAACAATTTCAATTTTATTAAATCTATAGTCCCAAACTCCTACAACAGCACAATGGATGACTAATCATTTTTCTGATAACAAGATTGTATTCACTGTTCAAAAATAATTAGAAGCTTAGATCCAGTCAATGAAATAAATGTGCCTCTTTATAATAAAAATGCAATGGTAAAAAGGTATGAGCATACCTGTCCTAAATAATTAAAAGCATTGTGGCAAGTTCACCTTTTTGTTTTATTTTGTTTTGTTTTTCGGTACCAGGGATTGAACTCGGTACCTTGCACTTGCGAGGCAGGCAGTGGCACCACTGAGCTAAATCCCCAGCCAGCAAACTCACTTCTGTTGTTGTTTTAGTTTGTTTTTTCAGACACGGTCTATGTAGTTGAGACTGACCTGGAACTCACTATGTAGCCCAGGCTGGTCTTGCTCACAGTGATCCTCTTGCCTCAGCCTCCCGAGTGCTGGGATAACAGGAGTACGCCACCACCACGCCCAGCTAAGCTCACTTTTAAAGAAATTAACAGTAAAAACTAGAAAGGAAGCATGCCTTTGTAAAAAGTACAATTAACCTCTTATTTGATAAATCTGAATTAACAAAAAAAAGCTTTATTTAAAATATTATCGTGCTCACCTAACATGTGAGGCCTGAGTCCAATCCCCAGCACCACAAAAATAAATTAAAAATTTTTAAAAAGTCTTTTTTTTTTTCCTTTACCAAGAGGAGCTTGTGGTTTGCACAAAACTAATAAAGCAGCATACAAAATCAACATTAGACAATCAATAGCATTTTTTGTTTTGTTCTTTTTTTTTTTTGATACAGTCTTACAGTCTCTACCACAGAGGTTCTCATTCAAAGGTAAATTTGAAGATAATATTGGGAGGAAAAATAGTTATTGTTTTATTTGGTTAGAGCAGTAACCATTACAAGGAAAGCCCAGTATGTGTAGAGCATTATTGTCAAATTGTGCTTATTCAATCACAATTGAAATGTCTACATTTTTTAAAATGCTGTAGAAATATTTTCTCATCTTTTACCAGTAACCATTACAAGGAAAGCCCAGTATGTGTAGAGCATTATTGTCAAATTGTGCTATTCAATCACAATTGAAATGTCTACATTTTTTAAAATGCTGTAGAAATATTTTCTCATCTTTTACTTCCAATATTTATTCATAGATTATTTGGACATATACCTTCTACATACCAGATACTATTATTGGTGCTAGAAGTGCTATTAGCACATCTGTCTTTTTTTCCAATAAGAAATAGGCAATATTACCTAAGAAAATAATTAGTGGTGGTTTTTTGGCTTTGTAGCTGCTAAATCCCGAAGATGACCTCTTACCAGGAAAGATTCGAGACAGCAATCGTTCAACCCTCCTAGCAACAATTCAGGAACATGGTTACCCCACAATCAACTTGGGAATTGTGGGAGACAAGTAAGTATTGTGTTTCACCATGAAAAGTTGTTATTGTACAATTATGAAATTTTAGAATACTAAGTGGAGTTGCTGCTAAAGAGACAAACTTAGCATGATAATTTTCATTGATCATTTTCCTTCCTATGCCAAAGAGCTACAGAGGTGCCTACATCTTTAGTAATAGACATTTTCTTGGAATGCATATTGCAACAGGAAAAATATTTTAATTTGTAATGGGTATGATACATTTGCAGGAATCTTTTTTCCTAGTTTCCATAGGAACTAATGGCAATGGTATTGTTCCTATTCACAATTTTATTTGTTTCAAAAAATATATGAATGAGAATAGACACCTCACATGAGATCATATGACCAGGTGATAGCAGAAATGAGAACCAAGCCAGGGAGCACAAGCATATGCACACAAACCAAGCTTTGAGGTTGCAGGAGAGGATTATCCTCCAGGAAGTGGAGAAAAAAATCAGATTAGCTTCTTCAAAAAAGAGAGAGCCATGGGCCAGGGATTTAGCTCAGTTGTACCACCACCTGCCTCACAAGCACGAGGTCCCAAGTTTGATCCCTGGTAACAAGAAAAAAGAGAGAGGCAAGCTTTTTATTGGGTTTATAGGTGAATTTAGGGTCTGGTTGATAATTATCTCAATTCTGGTTCTGTAAAGTGGCTCTAGAGGAGTCCTTACTGCTTTGGGGGACAATCTGGCTCCCATGAGGTGATTACTCCTTACTTGGGGGGGGGGCTTGGTTTCTATCACCCGTTTAGAGTGGTGATCTCATTATAGGATGGTTTGTCTGTGAAGTCCTGCTATTCCTGGAATCCAGAGTGACTATAGGTTTAGAGCAATGAGTAGCAGCTTCTAGAACATCACTCCAGGCGTTCTAGAATATAGGGTGTTGTGAAAGATGGCAATTGAGTGTTCCTAAAAATCTTAAAAATACCTTAGTTATTATTGGTGTCCTGTCTTGAAGAGGGAGAATGTAAGTTAGGGCTTGTCTTACTTTTCTCATTATTCAGACAAAATACCCAACACCCAAAGTTAAAGGAGGAAAGGTTTATTATAGCTCAGTTTGTAGAGGCTTCAGTTCATAATTGCCTGGCTCCATGGTAGAGTGGTATGGCAGAGGGGCATCACAGGGGAGAAATAGTTCACGGTGGGAAGAAGGCAGCAAAGCAGTAATGTAGCAAAGCAACAGCAAACCTGCTTTCTTTCTGTCCGTTTATATCTACCCAAGCTACCTGCCTTTTGGGTGCTACTGCCCACACCCAGGATAGGCCTTTTCATTATACACACCCAGAACTATGCCAGTCAATGGACTAATGTAGTAATCACACACCCTTATTCCTAGCATCACATATCCTAGCTCAAGCCACTTCTGAAAAGCCCCACCTATGACTGTGTAAGACTTTGAGGGAACATCTAGACACAAGCTGTAACAGGGTTTAAGGCCTAGCCTGTTTTTCCATTGTCTCTGCATACCATTCTGTTTAATAGATGAGAAGTCAGGAGCTAAAGTTTAAGGTTTCTTCATCTTTTGTCCCTATGATGTTCCTTGAAAGTTTTTTTTATATGCTAATGTTTAATTGTATGAGTTCCACATTGTTGATTGTGAAGGATATTTCTTGATAATTGATGTTATATTTTACCCCAAGATGTATCTTGCTAACAGAATAGTGAACTCAAACCAGGTATAGGCAATTCAGAGTAATGTGCCAATCCTTAATACATGCCTTTTTATTTGATAGCAATATTTTATATCAAAGTGGGGATAGTTCTTTTTTAAGCAATTGATGCAAATCAAAGCTTTCTCAGTCTTAGAGTGCTATGTTGAAGAGGCCAAAAGTGAATGGTTTAGAATACAGAGGTGCAATCTGGAAAGCAAGAATTTATAACTATTCTAATGGAAATCTGTACTAGGAGTAGAGCAAAGGGAACGAGGTATATTTACTCTATTGCCTGTTGATATTCTGTGTAGGATGCCTTCCTTTTCATTTTTCTTCCTCTGTGGCTGTTTGCTAAAGAAAGCAAATGTTGTTATACAGAAACCTCTATACAAAGCTTTCCAAAGAAACAGTCATGGGAGAAACTCTGCCCTACGTTTAAAGCAGAGAGAGAAATAGCTCAAGATACCAGCAAGCACAAAAACCCTTACTAAGATATGGAAGATAAAGGGAGTGACAGTTCTATTCTTGTCATATAAAAAGGCTTACATTTGGCATTTAAATTGTGTGTAATTCTGCTTCTTGGTTCTTGTTTTTATCACCTACCATAATTTTGACAATCAATATAAATTATTATAACACCTTGTAACTATTTAGATTGAATTGGGCTAAAATTTGCCTTTCTTACTGCCACTTTTATTTAAAAGAAGGGTAATTTAATAATGCGGTGAAGATTATGGGACAGGTGCTTCAAATATTGGGCACTAACTATATTTGCAAGGTAATCACAAATATTTTTGTATATTTTTGTATATTTGTATATATTTAGTATTTTAGGGCAGGTGCAGTGCCACTGAGCTAAATCCCCAGCCCCTAGTATTTTAAAAATAAAATTAAAAGATAAATTGTAAAGCCCAGAGATACTAAGTAACTTGCCCAGCACTATGCAACTCCTTAGTGGTAGAAATAGAGATATAATTTAAACTTCTTGGGATTAACAAGCTACAGTTCTTTGCTAATGAGACAGGAATGATATAGGAACCTCCAAATGATGTAAGGGAAATAGTATAACTCCCAACCTGTTAGATGTCTGATACACTGAATTCATGTTCTCTAAGATCAAAGAATGAATTCTAGGAACAACGGAGGTTTAGAGTGCAAAATATTTATTGAGGGGAAAAATAACTTCTGTCTAAGGGAGACAGAAAAGGACCAGAAAGTGAGTTGCTATGGACTCCACTTACAGGGGAGGATTTATAGAGCAAAATCTTGAGGTGGGTATGAAATGGTGAGGTAGGTAAAAGATGGGACAAAACTATGATTAACTAATAAGATTCCAAGTATAGTCATTTAGGTCGTATTGATCCAGTGGGGAAGCAAATCACGTCAAGAACAAAGACCTTTCCTGGAAAGAATGAGTCAGGGACCAGGGATAAGGTCAAGGTCTGGGTCCCCACCCAGCTGATTGATTCCTGTTTAGAATACCAGTCACTATTGTTTATCCCTGAGGGAGTAGGTGTAGTCATTTCATCTTTGTCTTGGGGTCTGGCTGTTAATGAATGCACCTCCACTCACTTTGTCATTCTCATCTTGTGCATTGGCTTCTTTGAGAGTCTAGCCTTGTCTGACTACCTATAATATTTCTAACTTAACTGTCTATAATATTCTCCCCTCTGAAGAGATACCCCTAACTGCCATGAAGGGGTAAGGGACAGTCATAGTTGTGATCCAAAGTCAGAGATAGTCTACACAGGGACTATCTAAAGACTCCTAGTAGAGGAGACCAGGCATTCTCATCTCAGAAAGGTAGGTGCATAGCTTTAAGTCTGGAGGAGACAAGACCGAAGACACAGTTAAGTATACATGGGCCAAAAAATAAGATCAAGAAGGCCATTGTGAATACAACCAACAGAAGTTTCCACCAGGAAGAGCTGGTAATAGCCTCCAGAGCACAAAGAGGAAAAAGAGAAGGACCAGGGGATTTCAGAATCTGACGTAGTATGAATCTGTCAGTATCTTGAGCAGCCATCGAGATACTAGCAGGAGGATCAGGAATATACATAAAACATTTCACTTTTATAACATACAAGTATCACTTTGTACTGTTATTAGAATGTCTAATGCCATCTGAGTTTGGAGGATGGCTTGCCTCATTAATTTTACTTCCTCATTCTGGAGCAAGATCAGTCCTGGTGTTGTTTAACGCCTGTTGAGTAGTTAGTCAAGGCCTCAGTGTGTTGTGTGACATCCTCTAATCCTAGGAAAGGGATTACAAATACAAGCCAGATGACTATACCAGTGAAACACACTTCTAGACCACCAATGTTGTAGCTGGGGTAAGTTTGCAGGTTTGTTCATACTTTTGACACCCCTGCCTTGTAACTGCACAAATTCCAGCATGCATCTGCCTATCCGTGCATGGGTAGCCAGGGCCATAAATTGGTTCCACAGGACTGGGTGCAGCTGGAGGCTTCTCATCTAATTTTAGGATAATTCAACCAGTTTGTTGCAAACCAGTCTTCAGACTGTAACTTGGTGGGGGGCAGATAGCATCCATGCCAAGTATTTAGTAGAGTTAGGCTAATGAGAAGAGGAGTGATTTTGTTGTTGTTGTTGTTCTCAACATAAAGGGCCTTTTTATTAAGTTTTCCTATAGTTGGAATTGACCACATATAATCATTATCAGTATAAATATCAACTTTCTGTCCTTAGCCGAATTGTAAAGCCCTTGTCAGAGCTATGAGTTCTGCTAGCAGAGCACTAGTCCCAGGGGCAAGTGAGAAACTTTTGTCTTATGTATCTGCCCTTAGGGCTTCCTTTCTAAGATGATAGAGGGGTCATGCAATCTCAATATATCCTGCTATCCAAAGGCAACAAAAGCCTGTAATTCCTAGGAATGCCCTTAGCTGTCCTAGGGTCTTGGGTTGTGGAAAGGAAAGTTTTGGTTTTATTCTCTCTTCCCCTAGCCTTCAAGTTCCCTTAGATACGGTAAGGCCCAAGTATTTTATCTCCAGGCTGCAAAGCTGTGCCTTAGACCTAGAGACCTTATAACTTCTGTCTGATAGAAAATTTAGCATAACACAGGTGTGTTGGCTAGAGAGCTCTTCTAAAGGCACACATGACAATGTATCATCTACATATTGCAAGACTATAACTTGGGAAAATTTAAAACAGGTGAAGTCATGGAAAACCACTTGTCCAAAAAGATGAAAACTGTCTCTAAACCTTTGAGGAAGCACAGTCCAAGTGATTTGAAAGGTCTGATAGGATTTTCCAAGGCAAAAAGAAACTGGGAATCTGTAAAATACAAAAGAAGACATCTTTTAAATCCAATACGGAGAAC